TCTATTGATTTCTGTATATCAATTTTACATCTTATTACTAACATAATTTTCTTGTTTTAGCTTTTCTATTGTTATCTCTCTCTCTTTCAGCTATACATCCTGAAAGTAGAATCTGTAAACAGAGTTAATTTTTACTCTCTCTGTAATTCTTAGCATTGGATTTAATCTCTTTTTAAACATCATTGACCAGGACTGGGTGTGTAGAGCAGTGGCTAAGATACTGTGTGCGATCACCACATCTCCTGTCGGAGTATCTGGCTTTGAGTCCTGGGTCTGCTTGCTGCCAGTGCACTCTCAGACACCAGCAGGTGATGTCTCATTCCAGTGCTTGACTCTGTTATCCACCTGCGGCTGCAGCATTGAGTTCCTGGATCCTAACACAGCTTGGCCCAGCATGGCTGTTGTGTGCATTTGGGAAATGATAATGAATAGGAGAGCTCTGTATTCCTCTGCCTTTCACATAAATATAATACAACATTTTTAAAACATACTATTGACTGACAAAATATTAACTCACAGTGACAGTAATGGACATTCTCATACCATTGCTAACCTCAATGAAAATGATGATTTCCTATTTAAATGGTGGCTATGGACTGAAATGTGGGTGTTTCACAAATTTTTAAAATTATTTTGAAATAATTTTTAGGAATATAGAAAACTTTCAAAGATATTTCACAAGCTTTCTGTCAATATTTTACTCAGCTTCACCTAATTTTAATCACAGGTAACATTTATGAAAGCTAAGAAATTTACATTGGTTATATGTTTGTATTTTTAAAATCAGGTTAAGAAAGTACCCACCAGTTCCCTTTTATGAATCTCTATTTAAAAATTGGGACTAGGGTCCGGCACGATAGCATAGTGGTTAAGGTCCTCGCCTTGCATGCCCGGGATCCCATATTGGCGTGGTTCTAATCCCGGCAGCCCCACTTCCCTTCCAGCTCCCTGCCTGTGGCCTGGGAAAGCAGTCGAGGACGGCCCAAAGCTTTGGGACCCTGCACCCACGTGGGAGACCTGGAAGAGGCTCCTGGCTTCAGATTGGCATGGCATCGGCCATTGCGCTCACTTGGGTAGTGAATCATCGGACAGAAGATCTTCCTGTATATCTGCCTTTCCAATAAAAATAAAATAAATCTTTAAAAAAAAAATTGGGACTAAATTTTTTTTTTTGCTCAATGTCTTTTTAGCACATGTTATTGTCTTTCTGTTTTGGCCTATCACTGTGACAAACAAAATTAATAGAATTCCCAATATTGAACTGTCCCTGGCATCTTGGAAGAAACTCACATGATCAAAAATATCTTGTACATGTTTTCTAAAATTGTAAAGTTCTGTCTGCCAATATTGGAATTTTTAAATGATTATTTTAAACAAGATAGGTTTGGAATTTAAGAAATTTTTTCTTAAGACAATTTTTAAAATCAAATTTCAAAATCTTAAGATTCATTTGGAAGTTTTCTTTCCATGCTGTGGAATAATTTAAGAAGCAGCAAGACTCTTGATCTTTCCGGTTTGGTAGAGCCAGTTGAACTTTGAGCCTTACAGTGTACGGGGTGAGGAGGGTAGGAGTTAGACAACCCTTTCTATTCCATAAAAACTATATACTACAATTTCTATCTTCCTGGGGTTAGTTTTATGGTAAATTGCAGTTCCCTTGAAAGTTAAATGTTCTAAGCATTCAAATCTACTTAAACAGAGCTTTGCAAAGATTTCTCCTAAAATGTAAAGAAATTTTCTAATTTTGTATGCACATGACTTAAGTGATCTAATGGTTTGTCTGTTTTTTTAAAAAAACATGTTTATTCTTTTATTTGTTCTGTTCCTTTTGACTCATTACATCTATTTTAATTCATGTTTTCTGATTCTCTCAATTGTTCATTTTTCCCCACATGCTTCAGTTATTCGTCTTTACTACTTTTATAAAAGAGTCATAGTATTACTCAAAGTTACCTTTTTTTTGTTGTTGTTTTTATCCGTGGGTTCCAATAGGTTTTCATTAGGACTGCTCTCTAGAATTTTCGTTTTGATTAGCTTTTTCCTGACACAGAGTTGCCTAAGAGTTTTTACATATCCAGATAAACATGGCTTTTTCTTTCTTTTTTTTTTTTTTGTTTGCCATTCAATTTTACTTATCTGTTATACTGTTATTTTCGGTTTTGAATACCTGTCTTTTCCCCCATAATCCCAGACACTATCTGTCTGCTCCATCCTTGAGCAGTGATGGCAGCGATGGCACTGACTTAGAACTTTACCTTCCGTCTGTCCCGACCCCACTGGCTCTCTTCCTTAATGGCGTTCTCTTCCTTAATATTCAATTTTGCACTGTCAAATATGCTTTTACTTCTGATTTGATTTGTCAGCCCTGAATAATATCCCTTGGCTCTTAGCTATTACAGACAAGCAGTCCATGGACTTATTTTCCCTCCCATCAGGGTGGTCTTCCTACAGCTCAAAGACTTCCTTCATCTGCTTGTTTCCTTCAAACATAGCATTTCTGTGGGTTTCTCCACGCAGCCACAACTTTCTCTCTCCCCAAAGCAAACCCGGCTCAGGCGGCTTCTGAGCCTCTCTTGTATTCCCTGACCCTGCCTCCCAAGGTGACCCTCTCAAGTTCTCGAGCTGGGTTTTGCTGCCCCATTCTGGGCTCTGCTATGGCTGGACCCTCCTTAACACCTTCTCTGTCTTCTCTCTTTCGCCTAATCCTTAGACGCCTGGCTCTGTTTGTTCTCAGCCCTGTTCTCAGGGCTTTCTTCCCCGACTTTTGCGCTTCCCAGTGGGCTCCTGTTCTCCAGAGTTTCTATTTTTGCAGGTCTTTCTGGGAGATCACGGATGCTGCCCCGTCCCTCTCTCCTACAGCTTCTTGCGCTTTCTGTCTGAGGTTAGGCCAGGCTGCCCATCACTACTTACATTTTGGAATTCATATTCTCTATGTCTTCTAGTTCACTGATTATAGAGTTTACAGAATTTATTCCCTCTTGTCATTTTGGTTTCTAGGAAAAAGGGAGATACTTGAATCTAAATTGTGACTATGTTCATTCTGGGAGTTATTCTGGTTTTTCACATGTTTACTAAGGCATGAATTCTCATGTAGTTCACTGACAATCATCAAGGCATTCAGCATTGGCCGAATCGCATTTTAACCTGCTTGCAGGGACAAAGTTGGTCTGCTGTAATTTTAAAGAAATCTGTTGTGTTTTAAATTGCACAATATGATGCCCTGTAACAGGAGGAATTAAAAATGCTTCTTGATTTATTATGGGGTGGCATGCTGATAAACTATCATATGCTAGTGAAAATATACTAAATTGAAAACGTATTTGATTCTGTGTACCTAACCTATACCCTAGCTTAGCCCAGCCTGTCTTAAATGTGCCCAGAATACTGACATTAGCCCAAAGTCAAAGTCATCTAACACATAGCCTATTTTATAAGGTATAAATTTATCAAGTACTTTATTGACAATCCATATCAAAAAGGGAAAAAAACCCACCAACAACCTATCACTGTGAGAAGTGTGGGCTGCTCCCCGTGTGACCATGGGGGTGTCTAGAAACTGCTCCTGGTGGCTGCTGCCCAGTATCACCAGCAAGGACTGCACTGTAGACCGCACACCAGCAGAAGATCAGATTCAATGCGCCAAGCAAAGTTCCTGCTGAGCATGCGCTACACCATTTTTTTTGGTATTTAGAATGAACAAGCTAATTTTGTCTATCAGCTCTCCTCTGTCTAAATGGTTGGCTTTGTTCTTTGGGACTTTCTCCTCACATATCATAATTTTGTTATCTTAATTCTGAGTATAAACGCCAGATAACAAAAATTTTGTTTAGCATTTTCTGCAAAAATCTGTCTACTTACAGCAATGCACAAGTTCTAAATATCAGCTCATGGAATGTGTTATTTAAAAATAATTCCACCTCAATAGGTGGATTTTATATGTGAAAGTCATCACAAATAAATTCTCTTGGAGACTAGGATGAAATTATTATTATTGGTATTATTTTTACAGCTTTTAACTGGGCAAGGCATTTATTGTAGCAATAAAGGCTGAGTCCCATATCCAACCCACTGTGTCTGGGTTAGACTTCCAGCTCAAGCTCCCATTCTGGCTTACTGCTACTACAGACCCCTGGGAGGTAGACCACTCCAGCCACTGGGAGACCAGGGTTGAGTTCTCTACTTCCCGCCTCCTTGAGGTGGCATATGGGAAGTGAATCAACAGATAGGAGCTCTTTCTCTCATTTCTCTCAAATTTAGGGAGGAAATTGCTTTTTAGAAAATTTTGCTTTGGACCAGCAATGTACATAGTAGGCTACACTTCTGCCTTCGACACTAATATCCCATGTGAGCACCAATTGGAGTTATGGCTGCATCACTTCCCATCCAGCTCCCTGCTTACAACCCTGGAAAGCAGCAGAGGATGGCCCAAAGCCTTCGGCCCCTGTTTCCACCTGGGAGACCCAGAGGAGGCTCCCGGCTCCTGGCTTCAGATCATCTCAGTTTCTGCTGTTGTATCCATTTGGGAAATAAACCAGTGGATGAAAGCTTCCTCTCTGTATCTCTCCTCTCTGTAACTCTGCCTTTCAAATAAAAGAAAATGTCTTAAAAGACTTTGCTCAGTTGTTATGTAAACTGATTTTGTAAGTTAAATGTTAATACTTTGAATATGTGTGGTACAGACAGTGTTGTGTGAATTTGTAGATAATTTTTGCATTTCTGCAATTGAATGCTGTTTCAGACAAGTTTTTTATCAGTAACAAATCTGAATACAGGCAATACGATGGAGTTGTTCAAGTAAGCCCTGGCACTATGGAAAGTAAACCACGTAATTATAATAAGGGATGAGGCAAGTTAACAACAACTACTACTACTTGTTTCAGGGAATGAAAGTTTTCAGTAACTTTATTTTTTAAAGATCCAAGCTAAGAATGTTTTCTTCTACAAGTGCACTTCTTTAAAACAGATACAAAGACAAAATTTATCTGGAAATGAGTAGTCAGTTAGGTGAACTCTGTCCTTAAGGACTTAAGGTCCACCAGGAGGAGACCTGCACTGGGTCTGTGCACAGCACTTGCCTTCCAGCAGCTCGCGATGATGTCCCCAAGCCTTTGTCCAGTCACAGTGTCCTTGAAGACGGCCGCCGACAGAGACGGCCTGAGGTTGTAGGCAACCACCGCATACAGGACGTACTGACGCTCCCCGGAGTAAGGCATCTCCTTGGTGGCCATCTGCCACAGCGTAATGGCAAAGGAGTAGATGTCGGCTTTGGGCGTGATGGCCTCTCCCTTCAGGATCTCCGGGGCTCTGTGCGTGTATGTGCCCCCCAGGTGGTAAGCAGGACGGCACCACTGATCTTCCAGCCTCTCGGAGCACCCGAAGTCACCGATCTTACAGACATCCTGCTCGCTGATCAGAATGTTTGCGGGCTTCAGGTCCAAGTGTACAATGCCTTGTGAGTGAAGGAAAAGCAGGCCGTTGACAACATCCAGAGAGTACTTCTGACACTTGCCCAAACTCAATTGCTCGCCAGCGCAGCGGTGGGGTGCTCCAAGCGCCTCAGAGGTGTGGCTGGGAACCCCGTAGATGACTTGGTGCAAAGTGACGTTGCCTCCAAACTCCATGATGATGGTCCCTAGGCTGTTGGAGCCCGCGGGTGTGCGCGTGCTGGCAGCGACCACTCGCACAATGTTGTCATGGTGCAGTCTTGCGATGTTCAACTCGGCCCAGAAACTCCGCTGGGATGCTCGCAGGTTCTTAGTGCACCTCTTCACCTGCTTGACAGCCACCTGGACGCCGCGATAAGTTGCCTTGTACACAGAGCCAAACCCTCCAGTTCCCAGCCTCTGTAGCAAGCACACCTGTTCCCAGTCAATGGAGTACCAGGCTAACCTGCGAGGCAGCCGAGGAGCCCGAGGAGGAGTGGCCCCTAGGAAAAGCTTCCCCGCCTTCCCCGGGAACTCTGAGGGGCTACTGCAGGGCCTTGAGTCCACCTCCGGGGACAACTCACCCGCGAGACAGCGGCGCAGGATGAGAGGTGAGGGCATGGCAACCCACTCCCAGCCGGGACCCAGGCCAGGCCACGTAGGTGAGTAAAATGATCAGCAAAAAGTGCAGGAGTCTGGAAGCATGATAACCACTCCTTCACCCCACCCTACTCTTTTTTTCTCTTCTTCCTTCATTTTCTCCAAATGAGCTACATCTGTGCTTCTCACTCAGCAAGGATCTTCATCAGATTGGCTGGAGGGGGAGGGAAGTCTGAATGAAGCAGAACAATTCCTTACAGATGAGAAGTTTCCCTTCCACACTTAAAGTAAATTCTCAGCAAAGTAGGCTATCCTCAGATAAACAGCACTGGTCTGTTCCAGAACTCACCTCTCTCACACAACGATATTTTCATAAAACGCTGCCCCACTCCCCTCCCAGTCTGGTCCAATGCACATTGCCTAGGGCCAAAGAGATCACAACAATAGGTTATAATTGTTTCACACTTTTCGGGCTTTAATGATTGTGAGGGTTATTTTCCAGCTGGGCTAAATCACTTCCAGCAGTTAGTGGCTGCAAGAGTTGAACAAAAAAACAGACAATTGTTGAACCTGTTTCTAAGATAATTAGATGCAAAACTCATGTAGCTACAAAAACTGCAACTTTAAAGAGAATCATACAGAGGTCAAAGCACACACCTCATTCACCAAGGGAAAGAGTAGTCTCCATCCAGCATGTAAGCAGATTGGCAAGACTTCTTAACATCACCTTGACTTTCTGACCACGCTTCCTTTCCACAGCAACTTGACTCACCTGGCAAACTCACTTGTTAGGGTCGTGGTGGACTAGGTGGCAAATGAGCAAAACTACTGAGACAGAATTGGGGGAGGAAAAACAAACAGTGATTCAGAGCCATGGTCAGAGTTTAAATAATAATGAATATGGAGGAATTGCACAAGAGTAAAGATTTGAAGACATAGAAATGGCACAAAAAAAAAAAGTAATTTTTTCTTTTTTAATTAGGAAGTCAGATACACAGAGAGGAGGAAGGACAGAGAAGATCTTCCATCTGATGACTCATTCCACAAATGGCTACAATGGCCAGAGCTGAGCTGATTCAAAGCCAAGAGCCAGGAGTTTATTCTGGATCTCCCACGCAGGTACAGGATTCCAAGGCTTTGGGCTGTCTTTAACTGCTTTCCTAGGCAACAAGCAGGGTACTGGATGGGAAGCGCGTTCAAGGCGAGGACCTTAACCACTACGCTATCACGCTGGACCCTTAAAAATTATTTTAAAGGGGGCTAGTGCCTTAGAGTACTGGGCTAAGCTTCAGCCTGCAATGTCAGCACTCTGTATTGGACACCAGTTAGTGTCCCAGTTGCTCCACTTCCAATCTGGCTGCCTGCTTATGGCCTGGGAAAGCAGCAGAAAATGACTCCAGTCCCTGGGCCCCTGAACTCAGGTTGGAGATCTCGAGGAGGCTTTTGGTTCCTGGCTTCCAATTGCTTCAGCTCCAGCCATCAAAGCCATTTGGAGAGTTAACAACAGATGGAAGATTTATCTCTCTCTCAACATTTTTAGGGCCCAACACAGAAGTCCTCACCTTGCACACACTGGGATCCCATATGGGCGCCGGTTCTAATTACAGCAGCCCCGCTTCCCATCCAACTTCCTGCTTGTGGCCTGGGAAAGCAGTTGAGGATGGCCCGCAGCTTTGGGACCCTGCACCCAAGTGGGAGACCTGAAAAAAGCTCCTGGCTCCCGGCTTCAGATTGGCTCAGCTCCAGCCGCTGTAGCCGCTTGGGGAGTGAACCATCGGACGGAAGATCTTCCTCTCTGCCTGTTTTCCTCTATGTGTATCTGCCTTTCCAATAAAATAAAATAATTTTTTTTAAAAGATTTCTTTATTATTTGAAAGTTACAGGTGAAGGAGAGGGAGGAGAGGATCTTCCATCCACAGGTCCACTCTCCAAATGGCTATGACAGCCAAAGCCAGGAACTTCTTTCAGGTCTCCCACATGATACAGTGGAGCAGGCCCTCTTCTGCTTTTCTAGGTATATTAGCAAGCAGCTGGACTGGAGGTGGTGCAAATTGGATCATCGCCCATATGAGATGGTGGTGCCACAGGTGGAAGCTTAACCACAGTGCCAGCCACTCAGTCTGATTCTTATAATAAATGTTAGTATTCAGATATTTTTAAAAAGACCAATATTTCCAATATTATGGATGTTGAAAAGATACCTAATGCAGGATCTGCAATTGTAAGGTGCAGTGGTTGACATGCACTCCTAACACCCAAATGCCTGTGTTTCACACCTGCTCTATCTCTAAGTGTCACTTCCTGCTAATGTGCACTTTGGAAGGCAGCAGTGATGGCTCAAGTTCCTGAATCCCTGTCACTCACATGGGAGACTTAGATTGTCATTCAGGCTCCTGATTTAGGACTAGTCCAAGCTTGGCTAATGTAGGCATATATTTTTTTAAAGATTTATTTATCTGTTATTGGAAAATCAGATATATAGAAATGAGGAGAGACAGAGAGGAAGATCATTCCCCAGGGGACCGCAATGGCCAAAACTGAGTCAATTTGAAGCCAGGAGCCTCTTCCAGATCTCCCATGTGGGTGCAGGGTCCCAAGTCTTTGGACCGTCCTTGACTGCTTTCCCAGGCCACAAGTAGGGAGCTGGATGGGAAGCAGGGCTGCAGGATTAGAACCGGTGCCCATATGAGATTCTGGTGCGGGCAGGGTGAGGATTTCAGCCACCAGAGTACCGCCCTAGGTATATCTTTAGGAGAAGGAAGGTCTCTTTCTGCCTGTCTGCCTATGTCCCTGTCTGCCTGGGTCTCTTTATGTCAAATAAACATATAAATATGCAATTTAAAAAGAGGAGCTAGCATCATGGCACAGCTAGCTAATCTGCCCTGTAGCATTAGCATCCCTCAAGGGCATGAGTTCAAATCCCAGCTACTTCACTCCTGATCCAGCTTTCTACTTATGACTTGGGAAAGCAGTAGAAGATGGCTTAAGCACTTAGAAGCAGTACCCACGTGGAGACCTGGAATAAGCTCCTGGCTCCCAGCTTCCAATCAGTTCAGCTGTGGCCATTAACAATTCTTTGGGGAGTAAACAGGTGAATGGAAGACTTTCTCCTCTCTTTGTAAAATCTGTTTTTCAAATAAAAATAAATAAATCTTTTTAAAAAAGGAACAAAAGCAAAAACTACAGTGAAGTAGAAAAAGGAAAAGAAGAAATTCACACACTGTAACACATACATATACACATAGGCAAGGGGTGTAGAAAAACAAGAGGATAACAGACTATATTTTCTAATAGGTCAATATTATGAAAATTGCTCATTAGACAGCACACAGTGGGAATAATAATCTAGGGCTCTAAATTATAGATAATTTGCACTGTGAATTGTAGCAGCATAGAGCAATAGGGGAGTGTCTTAATGCCTAGAGATCAGAATAGTGCAAAAAGATGTGACTTGCTATTATATAATCTTTTTCACATGATCACACAAAAACTTTATTTTCTTTTTAATTTTTTTATTAATTACATTGCATTATGTGACACAGTTTTATAGGCACTGGGAGTCCTCCCATTCCTCCGCAAATCTTCCCCCCATGGTGGATTTCTCCACCTTGTTGCATTACCACAGTTCAAGTTCAGTTGAGATTCTTTCATTGCAAGCATATACTAAGCATACAGTCCAGCATCTTATTGTTCAGATAAGTTCAACGGCTTCCTTGGGAGACCATCTCTGGTCTGAAGATAGAGCCGGCAAAGTATCATCCTGATCAATTAAAAGCCCTAACATAACATCAGCAACAATTTATAATGTTATGGGATTAATTGACATAGTATTGAGTAACCAATATATGTTTAAAAAATGCAAGTTCTCAACCATACCCTGTGACTTCTACATTGATATTTCAACTTTAGTTTATATACAACTGGGTTCTATACACCTTAAAATGGCTCTGGATTACTATTCAGCTGTCTCACGTCTATTTTCATTATAGTATTTAGCCTTTCATAGTGTTGAAGCATAATTTTGCTGAACCTGGCTGTTTTTCGGGCAGTCTAGACTGGCTTATAACTCTTACAAGACATATGTCAGCAATTGAGGTGTAGAACAGTTTTAGGAGGGGTGTGCAGAGAAATCCTCAATACCCTAGTGAGGAGTAAACTAATCTTTGTGTCCCACTTAGGTATAAGTGAATCTATGCTGACCATTTCCTGTCTGATTCTAAGCTTTCCTTGTTGTTCGCTATCTATTCTAGATTTTTTGTTTGTTGTTTGGTTATTTGTTTGTTTTGAGGGGTTTCTGGAGCGATCTTGATGATCACTGCCAGAGAGGGTGTGGACCCAAAGTTGGAACCAAGTGAGGACCAGGGAGAGCTCCCCTTCCTATTCCCGAAGGAAGTTTGCTGTTCTTCTGTTTCTGCAGACTGCTCAGGGCTTTTGGCTGTTGTTCTGATGCCCTTGGATCCTGCGAGGAAGGATTTGGACTTCTTTCATCCCATGTGGTAGATCTAAACGGGGGTGGATGACCTCAGAGTTCTTGGCCTTCAAAGGCACTCCAATTCCCATGGTCTCCTTGGTAGTTGGGATGTAGTCCTTGGTGCTCGTACTGATTGTCCTTGATGAGGATCCGGGATGTCTTCAGGGTTGGGATACAAGCCTCCTGTCCTCCTGCTCCGCTCTGGGGTTCCACCCCTGCTCTGTGCGTATGACCTCCTGTTAAGAGGTTGTCAAGATCGCTCTTGATTCCCCCTATATGTCTTTATAGTTTAACTATTGTCTAATGCTGATTCAGATCTGTTGTCTGTGAGTTACCAGTTATGAGCCTGGTAGGTTGTATTTCACGGCTTCCTCACACATTCTTGGGAGATGAAAGATTTCTCTGCTCTCCTGCTCCATTACAGAATAACATAGTGTATTAAAAGCATATTATTTTTACAGTTCTATGATGTAGATCATTAGCAGTCTGACTCACATTGATTGTTGGTTTATTGGTTACTTCACAATATCTTATTGCATGTGGGTTGGGT